GGAGGAAATCAAGTGCGATGCGAACAACAAGTGTCCTGAAAAGTACGTGTGTTTTGATGGAACTTGTATCTGTGAGTAGTAGTCTTTCTCGATTTACTTTCTATCTCTGCACCCATTGACAATGCTTAAGATCGATGCCCTACATATGTCCCAGATTACCCAGCCGGATGCGAAATTAGAACTTACAAAGACAGAAAAGGATGCGAACGTGCAAAGATCAATTGCAAGTAAACAGTAATAAATAAAGAGTTTCTGACTTTATTGCATATGAGGCATTGTACAGAAACAACTTCTGATGTATAGACCGATAATACAATTATCTCTATACCTTGGGTTTTCAAAAATCTGTCTTGTTTTAACTACACGATGGTAAGAAATGACTGTGCATCAATTGTATAATGGCCATGAGTATGTAGCAGAACAGATTTGGTAGTGCGCGCCTTTCACATATAATATTCTGCCACCATTATTCGTGGCTTTCTTTCAAGATAGCGCGCAACCTCAGTTTGAGGTTGCGCGCTATTTCGTCCCCATCTATTCCTACCAGGCTGGCTAGATGTGAGCAATGCTGATGAGCATTTTAGATTTGCTTTCTGTCCGCATTTGCTGCGCTCACACTTAAGAATTCACAATTCAATTCGAAATTCAATTCAAATTCAGTGATTAATTCAATTCAAAATTTTGAACCCACTCGTCCTATTACCAGGCCTAGAAATCCACGGAAAGTGTTGTTCGATAATAAGTGTGATGTCCTACTTTGGGCAGTGCATACACATTAGTTTGAAGTTGACAAAGGATCTTGCAGTGCAGTTCATTTAGAAAACACATAACGAGATCATACTAGCAAATGTGCTAATGTGATCCTGTTATCCAAAAAATAGCGCCTTGGAGCTTTCTGTTTGAGGTCATTATGTGAACCCACTGCTCCCAACATTTGCCCAAATTAAGTGTGTACATAGTCGGAATAAGGAATGTATGTCAAGTACGCAGCCGTTCTATGCATTCCACCGGGTGGAGCTGGAGGGAATTTAAAATTAACGTCATTCTTTTGTCGTTAGCTCTAAAAACACATGCGACTCAAACACTGAATAAGGTGCTTAGTCAAGAAGCTACTGAAATTTGTGCATGCAATTTTTTGAAGCTTGAACTAAAACTTTTCAACGTACTGTCAAACTTGTTCCCTTCCATTGACTCATTGATTAAGTCATGTAATCAGAACTATAAGTATCACTTTCTTGTGTTGAAAAACTACAAACTTATATTATCTCATCATAATGAAAAGAATAAGGACATCAAAGAGTGATGAGATAAACAAAGACCACTCGTAACGCCGTGTAACTCAGCATGCACAATTTTCAATAGCTTCTTGACTAAGCACCTTATTCAGTGTTTGATTCGCATGTGTTTTTAGAGCTAACGACAAAAGAATGACGTTAGTTTTAAATTCCCTCCAGCTCCACCCGGTGGAATGCATAGAACGGCTGCGTATTTGACATACATTCCTTATTCCGACTATGTACACACTTGATTTGGGCAAATGTTGGGAGCAGTGGGTTCACATAATGACCCCAAACAGAAAGCTCCAAGGCGCTATTTTTTGGATAACAGGATCACATTAGCACGGAGGGCGTGCAAGAGTTCCTAACACCTTTCCTCGCACCAAGTTCGCACCATCAATCGCACCCAGGAGGGTTCTAGCACCTCCGCATCTCAGAGGTCAAGGACCGCCCATTGCTCCACCCATTAACTGTCCTCATTGTGAGGTAAGCAAGTAGAGAAAACAGAGAATTAGAAATTGAAGTATTGAGAACGAAAAAATTGGAAAAAAGAAGTTATCATTTCATAGTTGAACTATATGGAAACAACTATGAACATGTGATTTTCACTGATTACAAACTTCAGTAATAAGTACGCTTTATTCAGGTTAGTATAAAACTTTAGTATGAATGCAGCGCCCAGTTTTTTTTCAAATTGGCTGTTACCAGTTTAGATATAAAAAACTATCTCGAAATAAATGTTGCCATTCTCTGGATAGTTCGATTCCAAAATTTGATTGTTTAGAATGAAAAATCGGGTGCTCGAAAATATTAGGTCGCTCCGAAAGTTCGCGCGATTTTCCAGACCCATGCTCAAAACACTTAGAAGATAGACAAACGCTGTAAGCACTATCCGATGCAGAATTTCTTCTTCTTTTCAACGGCTATGCTTTCGTTGTGACTATTTCGATAAGCACTGAGATAATCGCCGAAAACTAGAGCCCATCATTTTTACCATGTTTAACTTTCGCTAATTTTTAGGATTTTCATTTTGAGTTTTTGAAGGCGCTCTAATAACCAATTTCTAGGGCAAACCTTTTGCAAATTAATGCAACTTTCTGCATTACTTCAACCCCCTCTGTAGAATTTTGCTGAATTATTTCATGAAAAAATTGCAAGACACATAATTGCACCAAACACTGCGAAATCCCCAGAATATTGAAGTACTCGATTATTACTATCACTAGTATTACGAAGTAAGTGAGCGATTATGGCGTGAAAATGGATTGATTTTGGAATTTCCACTACACCCTTGCGCACCCGTAAAATTGGAAATTACAGAGATTTTGTCTGCAAAAGTCACATGTCTCGCAAAAAAAGGTAGCTGTCAGAAAGAGGAGGAAAAGATTCATCGAATGGTACCTAAACTGTTCAGCGTCTGGTTCTGCGAGGTTGATGAGCCGAATATAAAATTTGATCACTTCAGAAAATAAATTTTAGTCTAGAAAGCATGCCAGAGAGATGCAAGCGTGAATTTTCGGAGCGACCTAATATAAGTGAAAATTGATCACTTATGCATTTTCTTGAAGAAAATCGGTCATACTACTAAAAGATTTCGAAATTTACATATTGGGTGGCCAATTTGAATGCTGGCTTAGGGCGTTCAGCGTTCGACTTCCCAAATGACTGTACTTATCGAAGGCTAGAAATTACTTTTCGTAGATTCGACAATAGAGAAAAATTATTTTGTAACGAGTTTTCGGTTCCCTTCACTCTAACATGCTGTTCATATGCTTGGATGTTTGTACTTGAACGCTTGTTAGACACGTTCTCTTGTTCGGAGATTCGAGCGCTTGACACAAGGTAATCATCTATAGCATAGCCTAACAAAAGATTTCTAAGGGAGCAGGTAAAGGTGGCGAAGAAAGTGTTGCTTTACTTTTCTTTAAGACATAACTAACAATGGTAACCAAGATATTGTGAATTTATCTGCACTCATTCGCTGTTTCTAATGTTTGAAAGGAAATTGAATTCGATTAACGAAATTTCTCGAATCAGTTTGATTTAATTGGTCCTCACTTTTTATAAATACAAAGGCTCCACTGCGCTTGCACAATCTAGAATGAGCGCACTTAGAAGGCGGAGAAAAAGACGGAGCCGTTCCTTGACCTGTGAAGGTGTGATGTCCCTTCCAGGTTTCTCTGAAGGTGCTAATCACTCCTGCAAGGAAAGTCGGCTAGGCTTTGGGAACTTCTGCCACGCCGCCCATTAGCACATTTGCTAGTATGATCTCGTTATGGTGTTTTCTAAGTGAACTGCACTGCAAGATCCTTTGTCAGCTTCAAACTAATCTGTATGCGCTGCTCAAAGTAGTACATCACACTTATTATCGAACAACACCTCTCCGTGGATTGCTAGGCCTGGTAATAGGACGGGTGGGTCCAAAATTTTGAATTGAATTATTCACTGAAGTTGAATTGAATTTTGAATTGAATCGTGAATTCTTAAGTGTGAGCGCAGCAAATGCTGACAGAAAGCAAGATCTAAACTGCTCATCAGCATTGCTCACACCTAGCCAGCCTGGTGGGAATAGATGGGGACAAAATAGCGCGCAAACTCAAATTGAGATTGCGCGCTATTTTTAAAGAAAGCCACGAATAGCAGCTGTTCTAAGAGAATTTCATCTTTAATGCGGTACTGTTAGTATCATTAGAAAGTGCTTTTCTTGCGCTTTCTAATGCATGTCAAATTTCAATAAATTTCTTAATGTAAGGAGATTTCAGGATTTCCTAAAATCTCCAAGTGGCCGAGGTACGTTCTCACCTTAGAAATATGTTCTTGCGAGAAAATCTCCACAATGCGCCCTTCAGATCAAGTTTTTCAATTGGTTGCGGAATAAGGGTGTAATAGGCTAGCATACGCATAAGTTCACTTTCATGAAGAAAACGTCTTGCTAGTAAAATTTATTGTCAAACATCAATTTTCTATAAAGATGTTTTACATGCTATAACTTTCTGCGAATAGAAGTAATCGACGACTTCAAAGTTGGAGGGGCTAGGCTAAAGAAAGAGCTAGCAGGGCCCATCCACCAATTCTTTTTCGGCGCTCACATCAACTGTAAAATTTTCATAGCTCATAAATAGGCATGCACACATGCGCTGAAGCGAGGTCAAAAAGTGGCTAATTTTTTGTTCGGTCAAAAAAATCTCTCGGCAACGCAGACCCTATCGGCTCTTTCATGTTGCAAAATAATCTGCGAAGATTTCTCTATCTGTCCAATGTTAAGATGCCCACCAATTCTTATAAGGGAGCATTGCAATGTCAAAAAAGGCAAGTTTCAAGGAAAACGTAGTGAAGTTTTTAAGTTTTTGCTTCTTCCTTAACAAAGATTTTCGCAGGCTCTAATATGTGTCTGATAGCCAAGAAACAGTTCAACAGAATGATACTAAGATCTTGGAAAAAAGTTGACTTTGAAAGAAGTTATGACATTTTAAACTCAAAAAATTCAAATCGGACAGAACTTATGCAACAACCTAATATATGTGAAAGGCGCGCACTACCAAATCTGTTCTGCTACATACTCATGGCCATTATACAATTGATGCACAGTCATTTCTTACCATCGTGTAGTTAAAACAAGACAGATTTTTGAAAACCCAAGGTATAGAGATAATTGTATTATCGGTCTATACATCAGAAGTTGTTTCTGTACAATGCCTCATATGCAATAAAGTCAGAAACTCTTTATTTATTACTGTTTACTTGCAATTGATCTTTGCACGTTCGCATCCTTTTCTGTCTTTGTAAGTTCTAATTTCGCATCCGGCTGGGTAATCTGGGACATATGTAGGGCATCGATCTTAAGCATTGTCAATAGGTGCAGAGATAGAAAGTAAATCGAAAAAGACTACTACTCACAGATACAAGTTCCATCAAAACACACGTACTTTTCAGGACACTTGTTGTTCGCATCGCACTTGATTTCCTCCGTTGCTGCAAGCACACACTGTGAAAATGATCCTAATGTTTTGTATCGGTATTACTGTAAGTAATACTGAGTTTGCATGTAAATCTTATACAATGTAGTCTTTGCTCAATTCGAGGTTTTCTTTGCTCAATTCGAGGTTTTAAAACAAGTGGTGAGTACAGGGCTCATCAATTGCAATATCGGGTGCAGACTCCAGCACGGAACTCTGCACCCACCTTCTCCACAAACATGCTCTCTAATCATATCCAATCGACTGAAACTCCGCCTTCCCCGCGCTCATGGGGGGGGGGAAGTGATCAGAGAGCATGTTTGCAAAAAAGGTGCAGAGTCCAGGCGAAGCGGCCGCGCGGGAACGGAAATGTGGTGCTCCCGACACTGCAGTTGATAAGCCCTGTACCTAGATTATGAGCGTTTGAACTTACCAGCAATGGTCAGAAGAGCGAGCACAAAAAGCTGCGTTCTCATTCTGAAATCAGTCAGGACATACAACAAGAACTCGACAATATCTAGGGATTATCGAGCGCAGTCTGGTTGAAAATGAGGAAATGTGATAAGTTGACCTATATGATCATTGCTGGCGAAACATTATAACTTTGCTACAACTTGGTGTCGTAATGGTGAAGTGTGGGTTCCATATCTTTTGTTACAAAAAATGGACGCACATAACAGAATGAATAGGATGATCCAGGAAACAATCGCACGATGGTTAGTACATATAGGTTCAGCCTTGCAGCATGCAAACCGTCATTTGATTTCGGAACTTGCATGGCAAGATGGTAGGCTGCAACATATGGTTTGCACCAAACGAGTCAAGCTCTATCACTCTCTTACAAGAATTTCCGATGGCATCGAGGTGCTCTTCGAGAGCAGGTGCGAGCTCTTAAACGCTCAAACCGACTTTGATGTTTGAAATCTGAGATCAAAAACTGAAAGATTCAAGTACCTAAAAAATCGAGAAGGAAATCGTAGCTTTGCCTGAATGAACTTTGCATTGTTTGGAAAGTATACTCCTCTCATCAGGCACTCACATGTACACTTATCGTCCGTGAATTTTGCTCTAGGAAATAGAGATTTTCTTGTATTTGCCAAAGCAATGCTGAGCTGATCGCATACTGGTGATTTATATTATACTTGTACTATAATCATGTAATTACACTACAGATTGGTTGCACTTCGGATGGGTTGACATCCCTTGAAGTGAAACCAAATTTAGCCTTCCGCAAGAGCTAGTCTTTGAAAAAATGTCAAACCTAGCTCTCTTTTCCATTATCAACGCCAAACTCAAGAGTTTGATATGTTCATAACTAGTCTTTTACTAAAGACTCAAATCGTACTTTTGAAAGGTAGAATACATCTACCAATGCGGGACCAGCTCAGCATTGCTTTATTGAAAGATAGACACCTCCTTTCGCGATTTACAGCGAAGCAGAAAATACATCAAATGCACAAAAGGTTGTCGTAAATCTTTCCGGTTTTTCATCTACCTGAATCAAGCTGGTGCAAGTGTTTGGTCGTCATAATGCAGAGCTGGATGGTACCTTGCTTTTTTTCTAGTCGTAACGGTCAATTATATAACCATTATCACTTTTGTAGTTGATTAAAAAATTCTGAAATGTATCAACTGGAATTCACAACGAGAAAGACAATAATCTGACATGAGGCGTGGTAAGCAATCAATCATATTTGAGAGGCTTCTCCATCCAAAAGGGACCATCGCATATTGAAATGAACCTAAGCAGGCATCATCAGACGATATCCTGGCTTCAAAAAACTCAAGCTCGCATTCTCAATGAGGTAGAGAGCAGAAGGAGGACGCTTGATATACTCTGCTGCCAATTTTTATACTTGCAAAAACTAATTATGTATTTCGACGATAATAGTCAATGTTATCTTTTGTAAGATATTAAATGACATTCTCATTGTGTAATTGAGGGATTGGCAAAAGAACACTGTAGCTGTACGACTTTCAAGCACATTGCATAATCTTTTCTCATGTAAAATGAGGCATAGCCGACTCCACTATGGGAACTAATTGTAATCAGTAATTTTCTCAGTAATAACTACTCCTTAATAGCGCGTCTCTAACTGTTGTGTATTTGAAAAAATGGGTCCTTATAATTACTCTACCGATGCGCTACAAGGTCATTGCAAAGTTGAGTTATGCGATTATTTGCTACGCATGCTATTCGAATGCAATACAATTCCAGTGTAGTCAAAAATAATCTTTGTATTGTGGGAAAAAATAGATGTTGAATTGGTTTGCTGCTGAGGTAACTTTTCAAACCTCAACTATCTGATATGATTTTTTATAAACTACTTTTCGGAAACGAGAGTCAACTAAATTTTTCCGGACGCACAGATCAATAAACTCTTAACATTACATGCACTGTGAACTTTTGTATTATTGTAACGCAACGGAGATGTTTGTGAAAATTGCCAAGCGTTTTTTGAAGAAACTCTGTTTCGAGGAATTATCTCAGAGAGGAGGGCGAGAATGCACCAAATTGTAGAATACTCAACCAGACGATTTACTGCGCGCGCCGTGGGCACTAGCTTGAACAGCAATCGCCTATGCCGCAGCTCGCGTTAGGTCGATATTGGAAGACCTTCAACTACAGTATCCCGTCGTCAATATACAGAATATTCGTGGCGGGTTTCCATATATAAAAATTCGATTTAAAACAATCCCAAGCGTGCAGATAAGGACTTTTGTTTCGGTGGGCCACAGAGTTCATTCGTGGAACCTCCGAGATATGTGTCGCGCCATGAATCCATGCGAAATACGATCTTAAGGTCTAGTTTCGAGGGGAATATCTCAGCCGTCAGAGCACTACCTGAGCTGCCGGTTGGGCAGCCTCTTAGTTAGGACCCCATAATTACTGTCCACGTGAAATCCCCATATGTCCGGATTTGCCTGGACTCCGCCCTTGGCATTTATTCGTTTATTTATTCAGCATGCAAACACGATGCGAATCGTACGTTAATACAATCCTGGGGTCCAGTTTGGAAGCGTATATCTCAGTTGTTAGTGACTCATTTGCGTTGCCGCTTGTGCAATGCCTTAATAGGGCCCCAAAATTATTTTCCACATAAATTCCCATAGGCCCAGATTTGCCTGGACTGCCTTCAACGGAAGATACGAAGTGGCGATTAGTAGTAGCAAATTACATAGTGTAATTGGCATTCCCTTGGTTTTTATAATATTCAAATTTCCTCACACACCTCTTCAAGATTTGACGAAATTATCGAGAGAAACAAGCAAGAAATGCTTACTGTATCCTCCACAAACACGGTATAAATCACAAACTTTGCCAAGAGCAAAACGCGAAGTGCGCGTTCCTGAGTTAAACCTTACCAGTCTTGACATGTGAACTGACTGCTAACTTAGCTTAACTCGAGCTAATCAGTGGAATGCCTCTTCGTAGTCTTCTGTGGCCCACCGAAACAAAAGTCCTTATCTGCACGCTTGGGTTCGTTTTAAATCGAATTTTTATATATGGGAACCCGCCACGAATATTCTGTATGTTGACGACGGGATACTGTAGTTGTAGGTCTACGCATACAAATAGCTGAGTCCGAAAATCCAGCTCGGGAAACGCGAATACGGCGGAAACAAACTTCTTCCACTTCAATCCACCTGTGGAACAATTCCCCCACAAAGGCTAAACGCAGAGTCGCTGTAGGACTCTATGATTCTAACTGTGCCGCGCACCTAGAGCGTGATTCCTATAGTCTTTTGTTTTCGCACACGTGCGGTGGTGTGCCCGAGGGCGTTCTTTTCCGCGATGCACTGAAATTCTCCCAACTTTGCCCTGCGCTGCCTTCAAACGAGGGAGTATATGTTGCTTGAAAGGAGCATTACGTATTGAAGCAAGTGCAGTCGAATCTGTTATCGGTGACTGAAGATGGGACGTATATCATTACTTTAAACGCTGATTCCAAATCTGCTTTCCTTTTTTGCGGAGTAGGTATCGAAAAAAAAGTATGAGCATTTTATCTAAATTTGCCAAGCACTGAGTGGCTTAAAATAAACAAAAAGCTCTAAAACAACACCTATACGATTCCACCAGCTTCGTTCCTTTTTTGCAAACAATATACTCGATACAAAACTGAATTTTCATTTCCGGTGTTTTTGTATAGCTCGCCAATTTTGGGTCACCTAAACTTGGCAAATTTGGAGATACAATCGTCATAACTTCTTTCGAAAACTTGTTTCGCAAGAAAGGAAAGCAGATTTGGAGTCAGCTTTTAAAGGCGCGCCTACTTATATACATTTCTTCTTCAATCGCCTACTAATGGTGGTATCCTTCCCTTGTAAGTTCAAGGACTGTCAAATATGCTTTCCCGCGGTACCGATGTAGAGGCAATAAATTACTGACCCTTTTATTATTTTGCAGTGCAGACTAGATGCTTCGCGAGGCTCGCACTGGTTCTACTATCCACATGCTTCTAGTTTCGATCTGGGGAGATGTAAATCTCAACGCGCTGATCATTACGAATGAAATCTAAACAGCTGACCCTTTTCAAACCCTTTGCCTTGTAAAATCGGTGACTATGGGGAACAAATGAGCAGAGGATTAGATTGATCAAAGTTTCTTTTCAATAAACGGTGACTGGTGCATATGACGTTTTCGTGAATGAAATCTTGATCATCTACGTAAAGTTTCTTAAATTTGTGGCAACGGGTTTTACTTCGCTCTTTGCGCACACAGGAGCATAAAACACCCATACAAAAGGCACCACCTCGCTCGGCTCAATCACTTTCAGTGTTTGCATACTATTATATGTGAGCAGAAAAACTATTCAAGTAGAGATAGAAGCCAATAGAATGCGGCTGGTGGAAGCGTGCGTGTCACGCGTTTGAAAAATTGTGACGATCGCCATCGTCACGTCACCCTATACAGGGTGGAGCAAAAGTCTGGGAGCCTAGTACATCTTCAGATACAATTAGAAGTACCTAGAAACAAAAAGTTTGGTGCATACATAAATTAAACCCTCACAAATACAGTACAGCTCTCAAATTTTGAGATTGCCTCTTTTGGTTTCAACGCAGCCCTTCGAAATCTTGGCCAAGTCGCTTGTCGTGGCAAGCAGGCAGTCATTCGTACCACACCTTCACAACAACTGCTTCTTCCACCAGGCAAATGCACAGTATGATAGTGCAAGCTTTTGGCTACAACATATTACAAAGTAATTTATTCGCACTATATAGGAAAAGAATTTTGGAATTTTAAGTGAATGTAAGTGTACTGGCATCCTGGAAATTCAAATACGATTGCTAGAGCGAAAAATCATGATGTAAAAATTTTGAAATTGCTCTATCTATCGAATTAAAATAGATGTTTCTACAGAAGACTAGTGCAAAGAATATAGCCTTAAACTCAGTACTTGCTGTAGCTGTCAATATTTCAAAGACAAAAGCTTGCACTATCATACTGTACATTTGCTTTGTGGAAGAAGCAGTTATTGTGAAGATGTGGTACGAATGACTGCCTGCTTGCCACGACAAGCGACTTGGCCAAGATTTCGAAGGGCTGCGTTGAAACCAAAAGACAAGAAGCATTCTCAAAATTTGAGAGCTGTACTGTATTGTGAGGGTTCAATGTATGTATGCACCAGACTTTTTGTTTGTCAGCTGACACGCACGCAATACTCGCAGATTTTTATTTTGCGTTTTTAAAAAAATAATTTTTTCAAACGCAACACTACGATGCGATATCACAAAGACCCTTCTACATTGTATGCATCAAAGTGCTGTAAGATATTCACAGCATATTTAGCTACGTAATAGATTGTGAGTACTAAAAATTTTGATTTTCTCGCTCTGCAGAAGCACTTGTTTGATAAGTTCAATACAAAAACATATGGCAAACATTTTTAACTAAGTAATGTGTTGTTTTAGACGATGAAGCATTATATTGTCTTTATACGTCATTTCGCCTGTCAATTTACAAAATTTTGTTGTCGTACATATTCACAAGGGTAAGAATTTTATTTATCAGCAAATGATTTTTGGACGTTCGCATCCTTTTCTGTCCGTGTACATTCTCACTTCGCACCCGGCGGGAATATTTTCTGGCTCATATATAGGGCATCGATCTTAAACAAAGTATATGGATAAATCTATGAACATTCGTCCAATAGCGGAAGAATACCACTCACAAGCACATGTTCCTTCATAGCACACGTACTTTTGCGGACACTTGTTGTCTGCATCGCATTTGATTTCCTCCGTTCCTGCAAGCACTACAGTTCAGACTTCAAAATTTCCTGTTTCGATTTGTACTGTTTGCGCTGTCGGACTTCGCCATTTGCAAGTTAACATGGAGATTTACTCAAACTTGAGCTTGGCGAGAGAATCTTCACAGTAAAAGTTTCATTTGAAACGCAACATATGCATATTGGCACACTTTTTCTAGTAAGATCCCAAACGAGGGATTAGTTCTTACGTCTGCTGTAGATCTGTAAAGCTTACCAGCAATGGCCAGAAGAGCACATAGAAGGATCAGCAATTCCATTCTGGAAAATAAGTGGCAACGGTATGCGGGTGGTATTAGGCGATTTAAATGTCAGAGAAGTTGGTAACGCATGAGAAAGTTACTGATAAGTCAATCAAATGTGATAAATTGGTTGTGCGAAGTGGACGATGTGGACTTGAAATTATTCTTCACTTATACACAGCTGGAATGGCAAGAACAACAAAATTAGCAGATAGCGATTTGGCCATGAGCACTGTTTTGAGTTATGCGAGTAGAGTCGTTAGCACTACCTATACTGCCATCTACAGATCTGGAACAAGCAAACCTAGATTTAGCTCAAAAAAACTTGGACGGCCATTCATTCTGTTAAGTGATGCCCGTAGGTGACTACGTAGTTGATCGTGCTTGTTGTCGTGGTTTGGAGCACAGAATTCTTTGCTATCGAGTTGCTAGGCTGGGTAGATGATTAGGGGGTAAGCTGAGTGTCTTTGGAAGGGAGACTTGAAGATTCTTGTGCCTTTTGCAATGTTCGAAGGAATTTATCCGTGCATCTCGAAATAACAAGAGTTTTGATAAGAGATACTTACTAAATTATGCTGGGTCTTGCACAGTAAACTGTACTATTTTCTTGAAATACTGATCTTTCCCTTTGTATGTGAGTGGCGCTTTTCAAGAAGAAATCTTGGGCATACAGGACATCTCGCAGAACGAAGAGACTATGTGGAGCGATCATTTTTAACGGTTGAAAGAAGAGCAAACGATACATAATGCGCAAAAGGGGCTGCTTTTATATCTGCAAGAAATTCCAGAATGACACCTGTTTTTCTATTAACAAAAGCTACCTTCAGAGACTTTTTTGAGATGCTAATCAAGGCATTCTTCTTCGTGTGCAGTGCGAGAGATTGGCACAATGGCACTGTAGCTATACGGTTTTCCATGCATAATTTATATTTATTTCTCAATCAAACGAATAACTGATGCCAAGAACCGACTAAAAGTAAATTCGATTGATACACTTTCGAGTGAACGAACATATTCTGCTCAAGTTGTTCTCTACTACAGATGTGTGATGAAACCAGTGACTATGTCGTGAGCGTTTCTGTATTGCAGGATCAAGTAATGCTCTCTAGTACGAATGCACTGTACCTAAACTAGCAAGTTGATTCCCTTTCCATTAGGAAGAGAGCAGATTCCAAATTGGCTAATTTATATAAATGAAGCTGATTTCTCGACAAGCCGGACCAACTTGCCACTTCCGAGCGGGGCGGGTGTTGTAGACCACTTTTCCTCATTGATTCGATATTTCATCGATTCCTTGCAAAGTTTTACCTACGAGGCTAGGATGCGACAAAGGGGGGGGGGGAGGGGGCTGAGTGAGCTGCTGATCAAGGAGATATTATTGACAGTGCCAGGCGGAGCAGGGTTTGACAGGTAGCCAGTGATATACGCTATTCAACTTTGGTTTACGCTTTCATTATGCATCGTATAAATCTTCTGAATCTAAGTATGATCTATTTATAAATACGTGTATTGAGAGTGATATTAATATTAGATGTTGTTAACTAACATTAAGTTTTAAAAATGATTTCGTAACTTTCCGCTTTCTGGTAATGGTGTGCTCACTTGTTGATATTGTGCAGGAAGCCGTGTGAGCTACAAAGTGGCACAAACAGTTCGCTTTTTTTAAAAACTAGAAAAAATCCAAGAATTTCCGGAAAACTAGTGAAATTTTGGAATATAAGGTTATAAGCAAAGGATAAAGACGTATTAACCTAAACTACAACGATCCGAAATCGTTTACGAGCTGTCGCTAGAGATTGATTTATGCTCATAAAAAAAGTGGGAGTTGAAAACATCTGGCCCCCTTACGAAGTTGAACGAGTCGCTGTACGCAAGACTGCTTCATGACAAGCGTCACTAAGGGCCGGAATGTCAAAATTCGCCGGAACCCTGCATGGGGTTATTTGACCTGCCGAACAGGAACATCATATCACTCGTTAAATTTACGCCTCTATTCTTGCTTAGACCCCTACCGTAACCTACAGTAATCTTTCGAAAAATCCCCTAAAAGCCATGCAAATTCAGTATAACCTCAGTACGTCATATCTAAGCCAGATCTGAAAAATCTATACCTTTCCCATTGTACTGTATACCTAGTGTGACCCTCACTGCGACGTTACTTGGCAGAACTGTACAGTTGCAGCGGAAGAATTTGTCCAAAATTGCGGGATTCGCGGGATTCGCGGGATAAGCGGGATTTAGCTATAGCTTCTTTCAAAACAATTTCATATGAAATCTGCAAGAAGATACGGCTTCAGCTTGATGAGACGAATCTTTTGATATACAGTATGTCCGTAATTCGTGGTGAGAGGTAGACATACAATGATACCTTATTGTTTTCTATGTTAAGGCTTTTGTGAACATTTATCACAGCGTTAATCGCGAATAACAGGTTCTGGTGCAAAATTCTCGTTATCGAAAACTATTGCGAAAAATTGGGCAGTTTTTATTCACCTTATCACTGATATAAGCATTTTATCATTTATCGCCGATAACATCACATTTTTGGATCAGTTTTGGCATATGGTAGGAAAAGCACTGTAAAAAACGCTGAGTGAATTTCTATCGCTCTTATTCTAATTATAAGTGATCTACAGGCTTTTCTAGTCCTATTGCTCGGTGCAATTGGTAGATCCGTCGCTGCAGCAGTCGATCGATTTCTCATCGGCACATGCCACTGCTGCCAATTCTTACCTAAAATGGCATTTTTGCTTCAACTCGCTTCACGCTGAAGCCTGGGCTGAAATTCTGCACCTACATGGAAAATGAACGTGAGAATCGACTGCATGAGTTTAAGCCATTCTTATCTGTCGTCATTGATATCATCATTTTATCATTTATCACTGATGATATCACAAAATTGGACCTTTTCTGACATACATAGGAGATGTACTTCAGAAAACGCAGTGCGAGTTTTTATCGCTCTATCGCTTATAGTATGTGATCTACAGGCTTTTTCGTTTCAATTGCGCATTCGGTGCAGTAGATAGATCCCTCACTGCAGCAATCGATTAAATGCTATGCGCATGACACTGTCTCTTTAGAAACGTTGCTCTTTCTTCAGAAAATTTCACCGCTCTATAAATTGTGAATGAACCGAGTCGCCTGTCAACAAGAGTTTCAACGATGAGCTGAACACTCCTGTTTTCTGCGTATGGACATACAGATCCAAATCCACGAAGGCGATCGGTCTAAGGTGCGAAACGGCACAAACGGCGTGCTCGAGCATCTTTTCACTAGAGTCCACACGCCCGCGAACGATGCGCGTTCAGGGCGCTTGCCTCCGTACCGAAGTTTTTATGAATTCTCCTATGCTCTACTCTATTTCTCGCTATCTACAATAGCTCATAAAATGTGCACATTTTCTTTGTTGTCGTGATTTCGGGGTTTTGCGAAAGTCCGCAACGTTCTGGGAGTTTTGGACATTCCGGGATTTCCGCAGAATCACGCGAATCGCGCAAATCCCGTGAAGTCGAGACTGCGAATCCCGCGAATCCCGACAATCCCGCAATTTTGGACAAATTCTTCCGCTGCAACTGTACAGTTCTGCCAAGTCCTAACGTCGCAGTGAGGGTCACACTAGGTATACAGTACAATGGGAAAGGTATAGATTTTTCAGATCTGGCTTAGATATGACGTACTGAGGTTATACTGAATTTGCATGGCTTTTAGGGGATTTTTCGAAAGATTACTGTAGGTTACGGTAGGGGTCTAAGCAAGAATAGAGGCGTAAATTTAACGAGTGATATGATGTTCCTGTTCGGCAGGTCAAATAACCCCATGCAGGGTTCCGGCGAATTTTGACATTCCGGCCCTTAGTGACGCTTGCCATGAAGCAGTCTTGCGTACAGCGACTCGTTCAACTTCGTAAGGGGGCCAGATGTTTTCAACTCCCACTTTTTTTATGAGCATAAATCAATCTCTAGCGACAGCTCGTAAACGATTTCGGATCGTTGTAGTTTAGGTTAATACGTCTTTATCCTTTGCTTATAACCTTATATTCCAAAATTTCACTAGTTTTCCGGAAATTCTTGGATTTTTTCTAGTTTTCAAAAAAAGCGAACTGTTTGTGCCACTTTGTAGCTCACACGGCTTCCTGCACAATATCAACAAGTGAGCACACCATTACCAGAAAGCGGAAAGTTACGAAATCATTTTTAAAACTTAATGTTAGTTAACAACATCTAATATTAATATCACTCTCAATACACGTATTTATAAATAGATCATACTTAGATTCAGAAGATTTATACGATGCATAATGAAAGCGTAAACCAAAGTTGAATAGTACTCTGCGTTGATACCACTGCTT